CAATGCTATTAGATGTACTGACACTAATTGTGTTGAAGTGGACCATAAAATGGATATCTGTAGTTTTTATGATAATATTATCAGTGTTTTGTCTAAAAGTAGTGAATGTTTTTATAAAAAAGTTCAACATAATCACAAAAAGCGACCAGGCTGGAATATGTATGTAGCTGGGTATTACGAGGAAGCACGGGAAGCTACAAGAGAATGGACTGTAGCAGGGAGACCGAGACATGGCACTATTTTTGAGAATAAAAAGATTACCAATGCCAGATACAAATATGCTATTCGATTTATCTCAAGAAATGAACAAAGTATGAGGTCAGATTCATTGGCCAGTAAACTTACATCCAGCAATATTATGGATTTTTGGAAAGAGGTGCGAAATCTCAACAGTAGTAAAACATCTCTACCTTGCACTGTAGATGGTATCTCTGGCTCAGAAAACATAGTTGGATGCTGGAAACGACATTATTATAATCTGTTCAATTGTGTCCACAGTGATATGTTTAATGCTGGCACAATTGACCAAAGTGAATATGTACCCATAAGTGCCCATGAGGTGTATCAAGCAATTCAAAAGTTACCGGCTAATAAGTCCTGTGGTGCTGATAACATTTATGCTGAGCACCTGATACATGCCAGCAAAAGACTTTGTCCTCTGCTGGCCATTTGCTTCTCTAGCTGTTTGACACATGGAATTCTCCCAGACTCACTTCTCTCTGTCACGCTTGTCCCAGTCTTAAAGGATAAAGCTGGTAGAATGGGTAGTTTGGACAATTATAGACCAATCGCACTGGCAAGCATATTGTCTAAAGTCTTGGAGAAAATACTGTTATCTCGATTACAAGATTATATCTGCTCCACAGACAACCAGTTTGGCTTTAAATCTAAACATGGTACAGATTTATGCATATTTGCTCTCAAGGAAATAATAAGAAAATATAAAAGTCAAACATCATCTGTTCTTCTGTGTTTTATCGATGCATCTAAAGCATTTGATCGGGTAAATCACTGGAAATTATTCTCAAAGCTGAACGAGAGAGGGGTGCCTCGTTATATTGTGAGAGTTTTAGTATACTGGTATGCCCATCAGGTAATGCAGGTAAGATGGGGTAGATCCATGTCGGATCCATTCTCTGTTAGTAATGGTGTCCGGCAGGGAGGAATTCTCTCTCCTGTTTTATTCTCCCTGTATATGAATGATCTGTCCTTAGAGTTAAGTGCATGTAAAACGGGCTGTATGATTGGGCCAATCCAGGTGAATCATCTGTTGTATGCGGATGACCTTGCTGTATTCAGCCCTAGTAGTGCAGGTCTACAGGACCTTCTCAATGTCTGCTCTAAGTATGGTGTAGAGTATGATGTAAGGTATAATGCAAGCAAAAGTATGATAATGTTATGTAGAACTAAAGATGATGTAAATGTAAACTTTCCCCAATTTAAATTGTGTGGTGTTGAACTAAGTGTATGTTCCAAATATAAATACTTGGGCCATTTTATTTGTGATGATCTGTCTGATGATGAGGACATTCTCAGGCAATGTCGTATGTTGTACGTTCAGGCGAACATGCTGGTGCGCAAGTTTGGTGCCTGTACAGCGCAGGTGAAAAAGACACTTTTTAAAGCATACTGTACGTCATTATACACGGCACATTTATGGACCAAATACAAAAAAGCAACCATCCGCAAACTCAATGTGGCATACAATGACTGTCTGAGGATTTTATTGAAAAAGCCACGATGGGAAAGTGCAAGTACTTTGTTTGTGTCAGCTGGAATAAGGACATTCCAGGCCGCCATGCGATGTTTGATGTACAGTTTTATTTGTCGGCTCAATGAAAGCCAGAATTGTATTATCATAAGCCTGACAAATGTCAAATTCAGTGCCATGCGGTACCAGTCAGATCTGTGGAGACACTGGTACAGCTGTTTGCTCTGAGAAGTGAGGCTTATTGTTGTGATTACATGTGTTGTTTTGTGTTTTTATGTGATGTGTGTTATGTGTTATGTGTCTTATCCTGGACCCTGAGTCTGTAATAAAGTTTGATATGATATGATATTCTAATATTTAATTATAATTTATTATACAGCTCCTCACAGCAGCAGCACTCCATTGACTTGAATGCAATTCTTCCGATCATTTTTTCTTGATAACAGAACTCTCAAACCAATATTGACCGAAGCCCCAATGCAATCTGTTTGTAATTCAGGTGTGTAAAATACTGCCATTACTCTGCAAGTACAACAAGCTATCAGCGCCTGTCACTACATTGTGCAGTTTCTCTGCACACTTGTCTGTGTAGAGAAGCTAGCGGAGCTAGCCACGCTCAATAAACAAATACATATCAATCAATCAACACCATTAAACGTCAATCGGACAATACAGTATACATATACATCCTTAACACACATGCACGGATGATTTCAGAATTAGCTGTCAACGTTTTCATGACAAAAATACTGTTTTAAAGTGACAAAAAGCGATCGCGAAAAACCCGGAAGTTACCATGAAACAGCTAGCTAGCTTAGCTGTTACCTGCCTAGCACGTCCCGGTGAAACCTTTGGGAGCTAACTATTTTCTTTGCAGTCATTAAATACATTTCTAATTATAAGGGTTGTCCAATATTTGTTCAAATATATATATATTTTTTATTTTAGAATTATATTCGAATTTTGAAGTCGAAGCCCTGGTGTTGAGCAGCGCTGTAGAGACTAGAGGACGCAGGCTGTAGAGACTAGAGGACGCAGGCTGTAGAGACTAGAGGACACAGGCTATAGAGACTAGAGGACACAGGCTGTAGAGACTAGAGGACACAGGCTGTAGAGACTAGAGGACACAGGCTGTAGAGACTAGAGGACGCAGGCTGTAGAGACTAGAGGACGCAGGCTGTAGAGACTAGAGGACACAGGCTGTAGAGACTAGAGGACGCAGGCTGTAGAGGCTAGAGGACACAGGCTGTAGAGACTAGAGGACACAGGCTGTAGAGACTAGAGGACACAGGCTGTAGAGACTAGAGGACACAGGCTGTAGAGGCTAGAGGACACAGGCTGTAGAGACTAGAGGACACAGGCTGTAGAGACTAGAGGACACAGGCTGTAGAGACTAGAGGACACAGGCTGTAGAGACTAGAGGACACAGGCTGTAGAGACTAGAGGACACAGACTGTAGAGACTAGAGGACACAGGCTGTAGAGACTAGAGGACACAGACTGTAGAGACTAGAGGACACAGACTGTAGAGACTAGAGGACACAGGCTGTAGAGACTAGAGGACACAGGCTGTAGAGACTAGAGGACGCAGGCTGTAGAGGCTAGAGGACACAGGCTGTAGAGACTAGAGGACACAGGCTGTAGAGACTAGAGGACACAGGCTGTAGAGACTAGAGGACGCAGGCTGTAGAGACTAGAGGACACAGGCTGTAGAGACTAGAGGACGCAGGCTGTAGAGACTAGAGGACACAGGCTGTAGAGACTAGAGGACACAGGCTGTGGAGACTAGAGGACGCAGGCTGTAGAGACTAGAGGACGCAGGCTGTTCACTGCTCGTTCTGTGAGCGGAGGAGAACGAGCGGCCCGCTAAGACTCTACTCAGCACTTTTCACTGCCTGAATTTCATACACAGCTGAATCAATGACCTCAAGTTTTCAATTAAATTATGTATTATGATACAACTTGTATGTAGTAAAAAGCATTTTTATGAACTACTTAGAAAAAAAATCGGGTATAGCTTCTTTAAGTCATTGTGTGTATACTCCTGTACTGTATACTTTGGTGAAAGTATGCATTTTACCGAATTTGGAAGCAACCAGTTTCTTCACTTCCCCCGTGCTGACTCCGCCCACCAAGGACTCTCAGCCAATCAGACAAGAGTCGAGTCCATTTTTAAAACACATGGCGTAAACATGGCGCAACCACGAGATAATTCTTAACAGCAAAAGCTTCTCTTGTGTGAAGTCTGTGGCTCAGGACCATAGACTGTAAAAAATAATGGACGTAGTCACGCCTACCTCCGCCGTTCTAACCAATGGGCCAAAAAATGTGCTCTACTGGAGCAATCCAAAATGGCTGCGAGTGGTCCCGCTCACAAGAAAATTGTGAAAAAACGCATCTGCGCATGCGTCAGCCGGCGCAGCTCCATTCATTTGAACGAGAGACTTCAAAAATTCACAGCAAGTAAACTAGAGTGGACCAAAACACCCCCTCAGCATTGACACACATGTGGAACGGAGCTTTGGGCCAAGAGACAACTTTTGGTCCATCCTGTAAAGATGTTTTTGAGAGGCCAATGCTAACATATAGCATTGGCTATTGGCTAATTCTTATTCCGGGTCCACCCCCATCGGCCCGGGGTGGTATTGCAAGCATGTCAGCGCACGTCATTTTGGCCACTTTTGAGCAGGGACCCGCCCCCACTGCTCAGGACAGACAGCACTGTGCTAATGCTAATGCTAATGTTTTATAAGGTACATTGGTCCAGGGAGGGAGACTGAGAGGGAGACCAGAGGGAGACTGAGGGAGGGAGACCAGCGTGAGACTGAGGGAGGGAGACCAGAGTGAGACTGAGGGAGGGAGACTGAGAGGGAGACCAGAGGGAGACTGAGGGAGGGAGAGCAGCGTGAGACTGAGGGAGGAAGACTGAGAGGGAGACTGAGGGAGACTGAGGGAGGGAGAGCAGCGTGAGACTGAGGGAGGGAGACTGACACTGGGGCCACACCGCCGGCGTGCGAAGTAACGCGTTGCTTGCGTTCGTCAACAGAGTGGGGCGATGACGCAAGAGTGGCCACACCAGCAGCAGCAGCAGCAGCGTTGTACCGCCCCACAAAGGAGAACAGGCTTCCTTTCAAATCAATGCACATTTATGAAATATGGCATATCTAATTTATATAATATCACAACGCTCGCTTTCGTCCTGTATTAACATTGTTTGAGTGACTATTGAACGGTGATTTATTAACTAAATGTAATTACAACACAGTTCGGGAAAGTTGTTTACTGTTGTCATGGAAATCCACCTTTTGTACAGATGCAACATTGACCATGCGTACTATCAACATAGACTGTGTAAAAAGTCTCAAAAGGTGTGCAGTGTCCTAATGCTGGATATGAATGTCTTGGCCTTGTATGTATTCATAATGTTCCAAGTAACCCTGAATCTGTTGCGTTAGGACCTCACAATCCTTCCCTACACAAATTTGCATATGTTTACACCGAAGTTGCTTTGGGGGATGTTGAGTCTTTTGGTCCTTTGTTAAGTAGTAGGCTGTATCTCTGTGTGGAACTTGATTAACCAATAGGAAGTAGTCTGTTGAAACAAAGAAGCTAAGGAGTGAGTACAGGTAAAACATTTTCACTCCTTGTTCAGTTACCAGTGCTGTGTGGACTTGATTTCTTGGTGCTGACAAGACCTCTTGTGATCAAAGAAATGGGTAAGTGTAGGCCTAAACATGTTTGTATGTTAAAATGTGGTTAATCTGAATTGGCAATATATTGTTGCTCTATCAATTTTTACATTTTTTACATTATTCATTAATTTATTTACAATTATTTTGGTCCTAGCTCCAGCTATTAACCGCAGAAGAATTGCAGCTGCTCTCCTTTTATCAAGAAGAAGACAAAGACGAATAACACGCTCTTGGTGGGTGCATCCACTGAATCAGAGAAGAGCATCACATGGGGCATTTTACCACCTTGTGGCAGAGCTGCAACTGTTTCCTGACAGATACCACTCTTATTTTCGAATGTCTGTTGCGAAGATGGAGGAGCTCCTGTCCATTGTTGGACCTGAAATACAAATGTGTGACACCAATTACAGAGACAGCATTGATGCCAAGCAGAGGCTCGCCGTGACTATCAGGTAAAAAAAAAAATGTATCTGTACTTTTGTATGGTTTATTGCAATATCAACCAGATTAACATCTTCGCTTATGATTTCTACCATTAACATAAGTTCAAAAAAGTGTCAAAAATAAAAACACTCAAACCATAACGTAATATGGTAATATCAAAAGTTATTTAAAGTAAACCATTATAATGTTAACAAATATTATATAAAGATTGTTGTGTACAACATAACTTAAATGAGAAATGTAAAAGCTTTTAGTTTACACATAATAATTACAATTACTTGTTATTCATACCACAGTAACCAGTACCATAGTAAAAAAACAAAACTATTTACACAATTTAAACATACATTTTACAATGTTTCAAAATCTGAAGTGGTAGAGTGATCAATAAACTCATCCAAATAACCACGGTTTTGGTGCTGGGTTATGGTAGATGTGGTTGGCCGATTACCTTCTGGCTGGAAATACTGTGTTCCAGCTCTGTACGGATAGTATGCAGAAGGTGGTCGATTTGGTGGCATGACATTTCTTTCAGATCTCTCACTCTCCTCTATTTCAAATAGCACGCTATGGAATCTCGCTTGTGCCATTGTACGGCTTCTAAAAGAAAGGGACATCAACCTTGGTAGCAAGCTAATTAAGTAATGGTATGTCGCCTGTTGTTCGTCAGGCATAGGTGGAGTGCTATAGGTTGTAGCAGTGGTGGCTTCTTCGGGACGTGCTTGTATAATGTCAATTAGTTCCTTGTCAGTAGGTACAGTAGTAGTAGACTTGTATTTTTGGTTTTTACTTTGGCTTGGGGCAGATCGCTTGGTTTGGGATGATGTGAGGGCTTGAATGCGTCGGTGTATAGGAGGTGTCATAACTTTTGATGGAAGTTGGGTAATTGGTGGGGTCACAGATCTTGTTTGGGTATCACCAAGAGTAGTAACTGTGCGAAATCTGGATGGGCTGGAGGGGGGGGTACTTCCTGGTGTATCAATCTGGCTCTGTGGAGTTGAGGCCCTGCTAACTTTAGCATTGGTGGCATTATCTTCCTCTGTATCTTCATCCACGGAGTCCATAGCCTCAGATACTGTATCTCGTGACCTGAAATAGAAAGAATAGTGTTATTTTTATACAAAAGAGGATAAAAAGTAAGCATTACTCATGTTTATAAAATATTCACTTACTCTCTTTTTTTAAGATGAGGAAGTAAGAATCCCATTTGTTCTCGAAAGTTGTAGTCTCTGTCTGGATTAGCCTCATAGCCACTTGGATTAACCTGGGTTTTCATTCGGACAAATTTGTCTCTCAGCGCCTTCCATTTACTTTTGCACCAATCCTCTGTGAAGAAAAATGTCATATTAATATGTATGTAATACCAATATAAAGCATTTTAAATTTTGTAACATTGTAATAATAACCTATGTGTATTATAATAATTTAAGTACTTTCTTTTCTTTTAGGTTCTTAGCAAGTGGGGAATCATTCAGGAGCTTAGCCTTCCAATATCGTTTAGGGAGATCTACTACAGCTAATATTGTGCACTCCACATTACGGGCCATCGAGAAGACTATGATGTCTACACAGTTTCCACCATTGACTGAGGCAATGTGGACTGCAACCGCACAAGCATTCTGGGATCGCTGGGGATTTCCCAACTGTTTGGGTGCTGTTGATGGGAAGCACGTGAACATATGGGCTCCGGCTAACTCTGGCAGCATGTACTTCGATTACAAGGGACACTTTTCAGTGGTTCTGCTGGCAGTAGCAGATGCTAACTACAGACTAATATATGCACAAGTGGGAGACTACGGGCGCACAAGTGATGGAGGTGTATTCAAGAACTCTACACTTAAGAAGCTGCTAGAGAGAAGGACTCTACATGTGCCACTAGATGCACCATTGCCTGGCTCTGGCTATCTTGGGCCAATGCCTCACGTTTTTATTGGTGACGCTGCTTTCCCTCTCAAGACTTATCTTATGCGGCCTTTCCCTGGTGTAGGTCTCTCTGTGGAGCAGGACACATACAACTACAGACATTCAAGGGCAAGGATGGTTATAGAGTGCAGCTTTGGCATTCTTTCAGCCAGGTGGAGGGTACTGCTCACCCACATCAACTTAGATCCAAAGAACGTAGACTATGTTGTCATTGCATGCTGCATTCTGCATAATTTTCTACACAGCCAAGCAGATTGTGAGAGGTGGTTGACCGAAGCATCAGAATCAGGACACGTTATGGAGCCATATGAAGAAGAGGTGCCTAATCGTGCTAGCAGGGCTGCTTTGGAGGCACGTAGGAAGTTAGCCTCCTTTTTCATGTCTGAGGACGGCAGACTTTAGGCATAGCATGGCCTTGTTAAATGTAAATTGTGGTTGAATTGTCATCTTTCTTTTCAATTTTTTTATATTGATATATTGCAATAAATAAAAATCCAAAACATTTCCATGCCACATTCTTTGAAATAACATATATAATGCATGATAACTTTCTAGAAATAATTGATTACGTAGTTATGCTGCTGTACAATCTTTGCAGTACACATTTTTTCATTACTGTGGTTCTCAAACTGTGACCCTCAACTGTACCCTCACCATTAAATCTACTCCTGAAGGAACTTGGAAGGACAAATTGTTATGTGGTATTTAGTGTAAATAAATTGAAAACCCCTGGTCTATTGCTATGTAGGTTCAGCTTGCTTATCACATGAAAGTATGTGAGGTACAAGTAATATTCTTTTCACTGATTTAGTTTATTAGCCACATAGACTAATTGTAATGCTGAAAAGTTTGAAAAACAGAAATCAAACAATGCTTGACTAATTGGCTGGTGTTAATGTCAAGCCCTTTTATTATTGTAATATGCTTTATATTGAACGGCTATGCCTATCATTGTTTCATCGTTTTGTGTCGGCCATTTCCCTACGGGATGCTGCTTCTATATTCACGATGTGTGGTTGCTGTACACAAAATACTTACTGTCCGCTCCAATCGTTGAGGCCACGTCATCCCAAGCCCTTTCTCTTCTTCTTTGGTCCTTGTAGTATCGGTTTTGAGGACTGTATAGCTCGGGGCATCGCTCTACAGCCTCGATAAGTTGCTCTTCCATCTTCTCGTCTTTCTTCTCTGAACAGGTTAGTTACGTCACTACCTCTAACGACGGGGTCACGCACAGGTCGAAGTGAATCCCTGATAATAAACTAACACTTTATATTTCATAAATGTTATAGAAACTGTTTATGTGCAAGTAGCGAACATTTTCAATGTTCCCTATTTCCCAAAAGAATAAATTCACAAACAATATTGAAAAGACGTTTACTCACTATTAAATATAGGCCATAGACAATATATTGTGGGGGGTGGGAGTTGGGGGTGTAAATGAATGTTCTTTTTTAAATGCATTTTTAATCTGTAAAGCACTTTGAATGTTATGTTGTAGCCTATGAAAAGCGTTTTATATAAATAAAATTAATACAAATATTTATATCAATGAAGTTTTATTGATATTGTCTAAAATGTCATTCTCCTGCTAGCTGTTTAGTTTAGACTACGAACAAAGTTATATGCCCATGTATATGTCAGAATTATAATATTTCATCAATTTTAGAAGTCTTTCCTTCGGGACACTAGACGAGCGCTTGACGCACGCCCCCAAAAATAGGATTGATTCTATCTTCTCAACGCGTGGCGCCACTAGCGCGCTGTGCCTCGCGCGTGGTATGCGCGGACAGTGTGGCCAACTGGCCACTTCCAATCCGCTTCAATTAGAGCTAAGTAAAAAATCAACGGTTGCCAGCTACGCTTCTAGCGCTTCGCACGCAGGCGGTGTGGCCCCGGCCTGAGAGGGAGACTGAGGGAGGGAGACCAGCGTGAGACTGAGGGAGGAAGACTGAGGGAGGAAGACTGAGGGAGGGAGACTGAGGGAGGAAGACTGAGGGAGGAAGACTGAGGGAGGGAGACCACAGGGAGACTGAGGGTTAGGGTTAGGAATTTCCCATTGACTTTGCATTGAAATCGCTCACTTCCAGATTTTGCTTCCGGATTTTCATCTCTTAAAGGAATAGTTCACCGTTTGTACATACTGACATATGTTCTTACCTTACCTTAGACTAGTTAATACGTACCTGTCTGGTCTTAGTCCGTGCGCTCTGTCATGCAAACGGAGCAAAACCGCAGCCTCCTCTGGTCACTGTATAGTACCCAAAAGGTAGCTCCCGCTAGAAGCTACCAAACTCTTCCAAGTGTTCCCTATTAAATGTATATAGTTACGTGACGTGTTACACTGCAAAGTATAGTAACACAGAAATGTAACAGTCGATTTTCTCAGCGGATAAAACGGGTACTATATTGTGAGGCGTAGTAATCTGAGGTGCGCTACGTCCGCGCACTAACTTCTCTCCGGGGACTTCTCTCTCGCTCACTTCCGTCAATAGAAGCAGCGTGACTTGTAATACACACAGTAGCAGCGAGAGAGAAGTCTCTGGAGAGAAGTTAGTGCGCGGAGAAGTTAGGAGCGCTACGTCCGCGCACTAACTTCTCTCCAGAGACTTCTCTCTCGCTGCTACTGTGTGTATTACAAGTCACGCTGCTTCTATTGAACTATTCCTTTAAACAGAAATCTGGAAGTTGAACTTCCAGATTCTGCTTCCAACTTTTAATGTCCACCAGGGGCAGTATACCCTTGATTTTTGCAAGTTGGAAGTACATTCCGGAAGTGAAATCTGGAAGTATAAGGGAGCTTCCACCTTTATATCTTAGTCAATACTACCGCTAAAGATGCTAACAATGCTAATGTCCCCGCTAATGCTACTATTACTACTACTACTACTACTATTACTGCTACTGATGCTACTACTACTACTATTGGTCAACTGGTGATGCTAATGGTGATGCCAATGCTAATGCTAATGCTAACGTTAATTGTTATGTTATAGCTAATGTTAATGGTGATGTCAATGGTGATGCCAATGGTGATGCTAATGCTAATGCTAACTTAATGGGTTTTTGGGTCTCCTGCCAACCCAAACCAGTGGTAGGAGTGGCACTGCTCTACCACTACTACTTTTTTTCACAACACTTTAGAGAGACGCCACTCACACAGTGGTGTCTCTGACACCAGCTGGACACGCTCAATGAAGGGCAAGTTCTTATTCCCAAGTTTTGCGCAAAGTTAGAGCTAGAGCTCTACAATTTGGACAGGTCATAGCCTGTGTCTGTGCGATACCTGGGAAAATACTAATAACTTTATCTTTTTAAACGGCCCTACAATTGGTGAATTAATTTTGAATTTTGACTGACCTTGCTGCAGCTCATATATGTGACTCGTCACACGAAGGGCTTTCCAACGATACCTCTATCATCGCTCTACGACCTCGTTTGGCCAAGTTATAACACTTAACGAGGGGAGCGGTTTCAAACGCTTGTCGCCCCCTAGCTCCGCGGTGGAACATGGCAGGGACAAAAGCCGTACACCGTTGCGTTCGGCTGGCCGAGCCGGTTCCGTAGAGGTCTGATTTGTGACCTTCGGAACAGGTTTTGGCCTTAGATCACCTAGCTTTTCAGGGTAAGGTAAGGGTATACGGTCCTGAGACAGTCTTGAGCTTCTGGTCCAAAAACGGTCACTTGGACTTCCAAAGGGGTTAGACGCCTGAATTTTGGATATGTGGTAGAGGGCCACGAGACGAGTCCAACGGTGTAGGGTAGACCTCCGGGGGCCTTACGGTTCTCGGTGGGCGGGCCTTAGATCGGTAAAAAATCTCATGCTAATTAAGCTCGTCACGGCTTCAAATTTAATGGAAACGAGTTCAAATTCGGCACACGCCCATTTCAACACAGTCCGACCGAGAATCTAAAGTTTCAACCCGCTCGGACACTCGGTTGGCTACTTTGCTTCCTATTGGTCGGTTTGAGTGGGCGCCTAGATATTTGAGCTTAGAATAGTGTGCTGTGTAACTGAATAGTAATCGTAACTAGAAATGGTACAATGGCTGAAGCCATTGTGAGTGGCTGCATAGATGTTGGAAGGGAAGAGGAAGAAGAGGAGGAAGATGAAGGAAGAAGAAAGAAGATGGGGAAGAAGGAGGAAGAAGAAAGAAGGAAGATGATGAAGGTGAACAAGATGAAGAGGAAGAAGGAGGAAGAAGAAGAAGGAGGAAGAAGAAGGAAGTGGAAGAAGAAAGAAGGAAGTTGATGAAGAAGGTGAAGAAGAGGAAGAAGGAGGAAGAAGAAGAAGAGGAAGAGGAAGAAAGATGATGAAGAAGGTGAAGAAGATGAAGATGAAGAAGAGGAAGGAGAAGATGAAGAAGAAGATGAAGAATGTGTTGTAAAGTGCAGAATGTGTTGTAAGGTGTTGAATGTGTTGTAAGAAGAAGAGGAAGAAGTAGGGGAAGAAGAGGAAGAAGAGGAAGAAGTGGAAGAAGAGGAAGAAGGGGAAGAAGATGAAGAAGGAGATGAAGAAGAAGATGGAGAAGAAGATGAAGACGAAGGAAGAAGAAGATGAAGAAGAAGGAGGAAGAAGAAGAAGATGGAGAAGAAGATGAAGATGAAGAAGGAGGAAGAAGATGAAGAAAGAAGAATGTGTTGTAAGACAGGCGGACATTCTGGGAGAAGGCGGAAAATCGTGAGTGACATGTAATAAACAATCTTCCCCATCTACGCCGCATATCAACAAAACAAACAAATATCTACGGCAAAACTGGAATCCCCTTACAACGAGACACTGTCTGACCTAGAGTCATACATTGACAAAGCCTTTGAGATGTCCAAACCAGATAGCAAACGTGTAAGAGACGAGCTCAGCTCAAGCGACAACGACATGGATTTGGCAATTGAAATACGACAAATACGACACACAATGCAAACTATACAACAACAACTGAAAAAGCTGGACACATTACAACAACTGCAAGAAGATGTCACAGAATTAAAAACATCATTGGACTTTCACATCTCCTTAGTGGAAGTCCTAAAAGAGGACAACGCATCGCTGCGTATCGAAGTTAACAACCTCAAATCTCAGACATCTAGTCTACAACGTGACTCAATAAACGCACAGAACACCATTCTAGATCTTCAGTGCAGAAGCATGCGTGACAATTTTATAATACATGGACTTGAAGAAAAACCTAAGGAATCATATCAAACAACTGAACAATTAGTCAAAACCTTCTTCGTAACTAACCTCAAAATGGATGAGAACACAGCGCAGGGGATCCATCTCGCGCGCGCTCACCGCCTGGGGCAACAACGCGAGGGAGCATCCCGAAGCCGGCCTATCGTGGCCAAACTTCTGGATCCGAGGCACAAAGCGGTCATCATGGGGAAAGGCAGGGAGCTGAAGGGGACCAAGCTGGCCATCAGCGACCAATTCCCGCAGGAGATTATGCGACGACGCAGGCTGCTCCAGCCCATCTTGGCGGAGGCGAGAACCGCAGGAAAAAGATCCAGACTATCCATAGACAAACTTTACATTGACGGAACACTCTACAGAAACTCAAAAATAACTTACTGGCTCACCGGGAGCAACGACAACACCGTCACACAAAGATGACGACATCCGAGCGACACTCGTGAAAGACTGTTATACGATCTATTAAGTTTTTTATTTTATTTTTATTTTTCTTCCGTTTTTATTATTATTATTATTATTATTTTCAATTAAATCTCTTTCTTTGTTTTATTACAACAAATTAATGACTGCACTACAATTATAATCATATTGATCTTTGCCGGTATATATATATTTCACTTATTTTATTTCCTTTTTTTTGTTTTGTTTTGTTCTTTCTGTTTGCTATCTCTTTGGAACCAGCGCATTTGCGGCAGGGGGAGGTATAACCACCCTACTTTTCTTTTGGACTTAGCGATCTGGACTCATGAATGCGACAACTGATCATATTGTTGAACCCCATGCGTTTCCCAAGTTTCCCACTCCCCCAACATGCCACTCACACACTCACACATACACACACACGCGCACACGCACACACACATACACACAAGCACAACCAGATACACTGATTGACCACCACCTCAAATAAAAATGGCACCATTGAAATTTGTTACATGGAACATTAGAGGAATTGGATCTCAACAAAAAAAAAACAAGATTTTCAACCACCTCAAACTATTGCAACCTGACATATGCCTCCTACAGGAAACCCATCTCTCAAAAACTGAATCCAATGACAAACTACACACTCACCAATTCAATACTATTTACTCAGCTAATCTTAACTCAAAGCAAAGAGGAGTCGCCATCCTTATAAATAAAAAACTCACACACACTCACAATAACACCATTGCAGACCCTGAAGGACGCTTTATAATAATCAATATATCAGTCAATAACAACCCCATCACAATTGGCAACATTTATGGACCGAACACCGATAGTCCAACATTCTTCCACGACTTTTTCACATCACTCTCTCTGCACTCAAACTGCCCTATCATTGTTGGAGGCAACTTTAATGCAGTAATAAACCCATCACTTGACCGCAGTAACGCTTCTTCATGCAAACCTTCCCAATCGGCTGAAACAATAAAACAATTCATGAGTGAATTGGGCCTTGGAGATTGCTGGCGGCTCCAAAATCCAACGTCAAGAGAATACTCCTTCTACTCCCCAGTCCACAAATCTTACTCACGAATCGATTACTTCCTTGTCTCAAACTCATTAATATCAAAAATTTCAAACTCCATACTTCATCCTATCATAATCAGTGACCATGCCCCTATATCGTTCACCTGGAATAATTTGACTCCCCAAAAAAGAACCACTAGATGGCGCCTAAATACATCACTCCTTAAAGACTCAGACTTCAATAATCTTATTCAGAGAGAGTGGACGTCCTTCATGGAAATAAATGACTCTCCAAAGTCATCTCCCTCAATCTTATGGCAAGCAGGTAAGGCAGTACTAAGGGGAATCATTATATCATTTTCAACATATAAAAAAAAAGAAGAACAACAGGAGCAAAAGGAATTAGAACAAAAAATAAAACAGCTACACACCGATAATGCAAACAACCCTTCAGAAAAACACAAGATGAATTAAGACATTATAACTACAAACTGAATAACATCACCAATAAAAAATCTCAATTTATGATTCAGAGACTCCGGCAAGAAAATTTTCATCACAATAATAAATCAGGGAAATACCTAGCCAATCAAATAAAACAAAACAAAGAAAAATCAACCATAGTAAGTATAGAGGACTCAGCAGGGAAGCCAACACAATCACCGGAGGAAATAAACTATATATTTAAAACATTTTATTCAGCACTTTACTCATCAGAGAACACACCTGTCCAATCAGACATAAACATTTTCCTAAACAATATTAGTCTTCCAAAACTTTCACAAGACCAAATGGGTATGCTTGATGCGCCCATTGACAAAGATGAACTCCACACTGCCATAAAATCAATGCCCAACAACAAAACTCCTGGCCCGGACGGCTTCCCTGCTGAGTTCTATAAACAATTTTGGACTATTCTTTCCCCATTATTCCTTAGACTCATCGCTGAAATAAAAGAAAAATCACAACTACCCACTCACATGAATAATGCTACAATATCCCTTATCCCAAAACCTAACAAGGACCTCAACCAACCATCAAACTACCGTCCCATCTCCCTTATCAACGTAGACCTGAAAATCATCACAAAAGTACTATCCCATAGAATTGAAAAGGTAATTCCCACCATCATTCACCCTGACCAAACAGGATTTATCAAAAATAGACACTCATCCAATAACACTCGCAGACTTTTCAACTTAATGCAATACTCAAACACACAAAAAACCCCAACCACAATAATCTCCCTGGATGCGGAAAAAGCGTTTGACAGAGTAAACTGGTCTTTTCTAATATCAACATTACAAACATTTGGCTTTGGGGAGTCATTTATAAACTGGATACAAATTCTACACACCTCAGCCACAGCTACAGTAACAACAAATGGAATAATCTCACAACCATTCACTCTCCACAGAGGAACCAGGCAAGGATGTCCACTCTCTCCAGCACTTTTCACAATATTTATTGAACCACTAGCAGCAGCAATCCGCCAAAGCCCAAAAATCACCGGAATTCAGACACCCACTGGACACCATAAAATCAGCCTTTATGCCGATGATATATTATTATACCTGCAACACCCATACACATCCCTAACAGAAACAATCAAACTTATACAACAATTCTCAAATATCTCAGACTATTCAATCAACCTTCACAAATCAACCATACTCCCTGTACAACATGACAGCTGGGATGCAGTGGTCCATCCCCCTCCCATTCCCATATCTAAACATATTACCTACCTTGGCATTAGGATCTCCCCCAGGCTGTCAGAGCTGTTTCATCTAAACTACACTCCACTCCTCAAATCAATCACAGACAACCTTCAACGCTGGATGAATCTACCCCTATCCCTCATTGGTCGAATAGCAACTATCAAAATGTCAATTCTCCCCAAAATAAATTATCTTCTCTCCATGATCCCAATCACCCCAACATCATCCTGGTTCCAATCCCTTAACTCTATCATATCAAAATTTTACTGGAAAAACAAAACTCCCAGAATAAAGCTCACAACATTACAAAAACCCAAATCACAAGGAGGACTTGGCGCACCAAACTTCACTCACTACTCGACAGCAATTCATATGCAATATATTTATAAATGGACACACCCACACCCTGCAGACAATACCTGGTCCGACATTGAACAGACAATCTGTGGAAATATATCATTATCTGACCTTCCATTTCACAGCAGCTCAATTAAACGACACCCATGCTTCACATTCTATACAATATCATCAGCTCTGACAGCCTGGTGGAAATTTTATAAAATCACTAACACCACTCCCACACCATCCATCTTCACCCCCATCTGGAACAACCTAGACCTCCTACAGTTCAAGAAACCATTACATTTTCGTACATGGGCAGAGGCAGGCATCACACACCTACAACACATTTTTCATGACAACACACTGGTTTCATTCTCGCACCTGGTCCAGAAGTTTGGCATCAGGGACACACAATATCTCGAGTACCATCAATTAAAATCAATCATCCAAAAATCATATGACACAAAAAATATAGATCTCACTCTCCCCCCACCAATTACAAGATTACTAAATATCAAGACCCCAAAAAAAATAACTGCCAACATCTACAGAATCATCATCCATTCAAATTATACAATCACCTTACCAACAGAAAAATGGGAAACAGACCTTGGAATTGCCCCTGATGCCAGCTTCTGGACCCAAATATGTAACAACATCTACAACATGTCTGAAAACGCAAACCTTCACCTGATACAGTACAAAATATTACACAGAACACATCTCACCGGACAGAAAATGTCAAAATTCAGCTCATGTACAGACAAATGCACCAACTGCACACAAAACTCAACTGACACGCACATACATGCTTTTTGGCTCTGCCCCCCTGTTCTTCAATTCTGGAAAGAAGTGACAGAAACCCTCTCAACCATTATGGACCACTGCATCCCCCACAGCCCTTTACACTGTCTACTCGGCGACACATCCACTCTAACCTTAGACCCAGCAGACCAACAACTTACCCTGATAGCACTAACAATTGCAAAAAAAACAATACTCCTCAACTGGAAATCAAAAATCAAAGTCAACACTTCACAGTGGAAAGATCTCCTCCTAGAACACTTATCCTTTGAACAAACATCCACCAATCACAGAATTACTGAAACACCCAGCAACTGGAACAAACTCATACTTTATCTTACAAATTAACTAATTGCATTGTCACTGTTATTATTATTGTTACGATAATTTGAATTGTTATGATTATTATTATTACTTTTATTTTCTATTTTTATTTTAATGTTAATTTAGTTTTCATATTATTATTATATATTATTGTTATTATGATTATTATTGTGGATTTATCTTATTTTTTTCTCTCTTTATTTTTGCTCACTTGTGTTATTATTTTTATTGTTTTTTATTTTATTATTATTATTATTATTTATTTTTTTGTTTGTATAGTTTCTGCTTAACTATTAATATTATAAATTATATAATTAGTATTTACACATACAAGATATATCATATTTGAATATGTAGAATAAGCAATGGGGAACGGTGATGGTGAGGAAGCAACAATAATAAGTAATATTGTTTAATTTAATTAATACACATTGTATGATAAATATATGGACTCCTCCCACAAGCATCCCAGGCACATGCCTTTTTAATGCACAACACCTCACGCAGATATTTTTCTTTTTAATACACCACACAATCACAGACAAACTATTGAGGAAAGCTGTCGGAAGAGTGCCAGTAATAATGCTACTGTTAAGGACGCTAGTATGGTCATAATTATTATCTTCATCATCACCACTGTCGCTATTGCTGTTATAAAAAACATTTAAAAAAGAGGTTTTGTATATATATATATATATATATTTTAATTGTCTTTGTTTTTTCTATTATAAAAATATAAAGTAAATAACAAGTAACACACAGACACACACACACACGCAAACATGGAAGACCCCCCCCCCCCCCCTTCCCCCCCATGTATGTATGTTCATGTTGTTTTGTTTAAATAAAAAACAAAAAAAACAAAGAATGTGTTGTAAGGTTCTGAATGTGTTGGAAAGTGCAGAGAAGAAAGAAGGAGGAAGAGGGAAGAATGTGTTTTAAGGTTGTGTGCGGACCATGGTCCAGTAGCCGTCCACTAACCGGGGGTTGGAACCACTGGTGTAAACCATGTGTTGTGGAAATTCTGTACAGACCGAGAGCAAAAATAAAGTAAACAACCAAGAGTAAAACAATCAAAGTGTGAGTTTATTCATTAGTAAATGTGACATATACAATGAATAACAGAACCGATACCGATACCACCGGGCAGCACCGTCTGAGACCGTCTGTCCCGAATGACGAAATCATGAACATTATATACACCAGAGTAAACAAAGACATATCTACTCTGGATATTACAGATGAAGTCAACATTGATATGTGTCACTCAAGGCTCCTCTGTACGCTTCCTTACGCTGTTACTACTCTGATACTACTCTGATACTACTCTGATACTACTCTGATACTACTCTGATACTACTCTGATACTACTCTGTTACTACTCTGTTACTACTCTGATACTACTCTGATACTACTCTGATACTACTCTGATACTACTCTGTTACTACTCTGTTACTACTCTGATACTACTCTGATACTACTCTGATACTACTCTGATACTACTCTGTTACTACTCTGATACTACTCTGTTACTACTCTGATACTACTCTGATACTACTCTGTTACTACTCTGATACTACTCTGATACTACTCTGATACTACTCTGATACTACTCTGTTACTACTCTGTTACTACTCTGTTACTACTCTGATACTACTCTGATACTACTCTGTTACTACTCTGATACTACTCTGATACTACTCTGATACTACTCTGATACTACTCTGATACTACTCTGATACTACTCTGTTACTACTCTGATACTACTCTGATACTACTCTGATACTACTCTGATACTACTCTGTTACTACTCTGTTACTACTCTGATACTACTCTGATACTACTCTGATACTACTCTGATACTACTCTGATACTACTCTGTTACTACTCTGATACTACTCTGATACTACTCTGATACTACTCTGTTACTACTCTGATACTACTCTGTTACTACTCTGTTACTACTCTGATACTACTCTGATACTACTCTGATACTACTCTGTTACTACTCTGATACTACTCTGATACTACTCTGATACTACTCTGATACTACTCTGTTACTACTCTGATACTACTCTGTTACTACTCTGATACTACTCTGATACTACTCTGTTACTACTCTGATACTACTCTGTTACTACTCTGATACTACTCTGATACTACTCTGATACTACTCTGTTACTACTCTGATACTACTCGGATGGCACGGTGGCTCAGTGGATAGCACTCTCGCCTCTCAGCAAGAAGGTCCTGGGTTCGAATCCCGGTTGGCCCAAGGCCTTTCTGAGTGGAGTTTGCATGTTCTCCCCGTGTCTGCGTAGGTTTCCTCCGGTTTCCCCTACCACTAAAAATATGTACAATAGGTCTGGCATGTGCCTCCTGTACTGACCCCACTCCCAAAAAAATAACAATTGTAAACCGCTTTGAGACTCCGATGTGCAGTGAAAAGGCGGTATATAAATAAAGATTACATACTACTCTGATACTACTCTGTTACTACTCTGATACTACTCTGATACTACTCTGATACTTGAAATAATCTGCTTTGACCTGAACATATAGTTCTATGACCCAGATGAGGTCAAAGACAAATAGGAACACGTCTCCATCTCTCAGCTGAACCTGGATGACAACTGATCATTATGGCCTGTATTTGAAACCAGAGTTGACTATTAGTTAATAACGTATTCCCATAATTATTTTATGTTAATTCAGATTGCCTTACTAAAAGAGTTCTATAACAGATGCAAATTAACATTGTAATATGTTGTATTCACATTACTTTTATTGTTATGATTATTTGTTTGTAATAAAGCCTGTTATTTGTAATGTATTAGTGGCTTACGTTCATGCTTCAATTATTGACACGCAAAAGTATTTTGCGTGCAGACACAAGCAGTCTGCAGGAGGGGGCAGGAGTGGGAGAAGGAGGGGGCAGGAGTGAGAGAAGGAGGGGGCAGGAGTGGGAGAAGGAGGGGGCAGGAGTGGGAGAAGGAGGGGGCAGGAGTGGGAGAAGGAGGGGGCAGGAGTGGGAGAAGACAGGGGCAGGAGTGGGAGAAGGAGGGGCAGGAGTGGGAGAAGGAGGGGGCAGGAGTGGGAGAAGGAGGGGGCACGAGTGGGAGAAGGAGGGGGCACGAGTGGGAGAAGACAGGGGCAGGAGTGGGAGAAGGAGGGGCACGAGTGGGAGAAGGAGGGGCACGAGTGGGAGAAGGAGGGGCACGAGTGGGAGAAGGAGGGGCACGAGTGGGAGAAGGAGGGGCAGGAGTGGGAGAAGGAGGGGGCACGAGTGGGAGAAGGAGGGGCAGGAGTGGGAGAAGGAGGGGCAGGAGTGGGAGAAGGAGGGGGCACGAGTGGGAGAAGACAGGGGCAGGAGTGGGAGAAGGAGGGGGCAGGAGTGGGAGAAAGACATGGGCAGGAGTGGGAGAAGACAGGGGCAGGAGTGGGAGAAGGAGGGGGCAGGAGTGGGAGAAGGAGGGGCAGGAGTGGGAGAAGGAGGGGGCAGGAGTGGGAGAAGGAGGGGGCACGAGTGGGAGAAGGAGGGGCAGGAGTGGGAGAAGGAGGGGGCACGAGTGGGAGAAGGAGGGGCAGGAGTGGGAGAAGGAGGGGGCACGAGTGGGAGAAGACAGGGGCAGGAGTGGGAGAAGGAGGGGGCAGGAGTGGGAGAAGACATGGGCAGGAGTGGGAGAAGGAGGGGGCAGAAGTGGGAGAAGGAGGGGGCACGAGTGGGAGAAGAAGGGGGCAGGAGTGGGAGAAGACAGGGGGGGCAGGAGTGGGAGAAGGAGGGGGCAGGAGTGGGAGAAGGAGGGGCAGGAGTGGGAGAAGGAGGGGGCAGGAGTGGGAGAAGGAGGGGGCACGAGTGGGAGAAGGAGGGGCAGGAGTGGGAGAAGACATGGGCAGGAGTGGGAGAAGGAGGGGGCAGAAGTGGGAGAAGGAGGGGGCACGAGTGGGAGAAGAAGGGGGCAGGAGTGGGAGAAGACAGGGGCAGGAGTGGGAGAAGGAGGGGGCAGGAGTGGGAGAAGGAGGGGGCAGGAGTGGGAGAAGACAGGGGCAGGAGTGGGAGAAGGAGGGGGCACGAGTGGGAGAAGGAGGGGGCAGGAGTGGGAGAAGACAGGGGCAGGAGTGGGAGAAGGAGGGGGCAGGAGTGGGAGAAGGAGGGGGCAGGAGTGGGAGAAGGAGGGGGCAGGAGTGGGAGAAGGAGGGGGCACGAGTGGGAGAAGGAGGGGGCACGAGTGGGAGAAGGAGGGGCAGGAGTGGGAGAAGGAGGGGGCACGAGTGGGAGAAGGAGGGGCAGGAGTGGGAGAAGGAGGGGGCACAGGTGGGGGCAGGAGTGGGAGAAGGAGGGGGCACGAGTGGGAGAAGACAGGGGCAGGAGTGGGAGAAGGAGGGGCAGGAGTGGGAGAAGGAGGGGGCAGGAGTGGGAGAAGGAGGGGGCACGAGTGGGAGAAGGAGGGGCAGGAGTGGGAGAAGGAGGGGGCAGGAGTGGGAGAAGGAGGGGGCAGGAGTGGGAGAAGGAGGGGGCAGGAGTGGGAGAAGGAGGGGGCAGGAGTGGGAGAAGGAGGGGGCAGGAGTGGGAGAAGGAGGGGGCAGGAGTGGGAGAAGGAGGGGGCACGAGTGGGAGAAGAGAGGGCAGGGCAGAGTGGGAGAAGACAGGGGCAGGAGTGGGAGAAGGAGGGGGCAGGAGTGGGAGAAGGAGGGGGCAGGAGTGGGAGAAGGAGGGGGCAGGAGTGGGAGAAGGAGGGGGCAGGAGTGGGAGAAGGAGGGGGCAGGAGTGGGAGAAGGAGGGGGCAGGAGTGGGAGAAGGAGGGGGCAGGAGTGGGAGAAGGAGGGGGCACGAGTGGGAGAAGACAGGGGCAGGAGTGGGAGAAGACAGGGGCAGGAGTGGGAGAAGGAGGGGGCAGGAGTGGGAGAAGGAGGGGGCAGGAGTGGGAGAAGGAGGGGGCAGGAGTGGGAGAAGGAGGGGCAGGAGTTGCACATTCCAGTCCCAAGGCAATTTAAAGCAGCACAATGAATAGAAGTGTGAACAAACCGTATTTATTTACTACAACTAATAAGTATAAGACATTAATAGCCAACAATAAACAACTAACAATGTAGAAATAGAATAGCACATTCTGTAATATAAATGAAACTAAGACATAACACAAAGATGGAAAAATCTAAATAAATTACTATCTACACATAGATACGTATTTACAAACAATATTTACAAGTATTTACAAACAATATTTACTAGTATTTACAGTATAGTATTTACAAGATTATATTATTATGGAGGTGGCTGTCCATGTGTTTTCTGCTGGCGTTGTTCTACCAGCCACTCCTCTTGATTTGCCACCAGAGACACTGGGGCAAAAGGTGGCACTGCCAAACCGGCTGTGGCCGAACTCCTTCGTTTTGGGCTGGCCACACTTGGAGCATTTGTTAAATGCCACTTCACGGACATATCGTCTTTTGTGAGTTCCACTGGCCTCCTCTTCTGCCCTGCGTCGTCTGTTTCTCTGCGTGAAGCGGGACACAGACACTGGGGCAGTGGGAGCAGGAGCCTCGGGCGCGGCAGGAAACACAGGAGTTGGAGCCAGGAGACGAGCAGCTAAAGGGCCACCTGCACCTTTGGAAATCAGCGTGGGCACAAGGTTCAAAACAAAAAACTGGGGCAGTGGCGCAGGAACTAAAGGAAGAGGAGCTGCTGGGGTGATGGGCCGCACAACTGTAGCACTGGCAGGTCGTTTGCCAGGCCGCAGCTTAGGAGCCTGTCCCGCTGGGTTTGGAGGCAGGACAAATTCGTGCCGGGCCCCTGATGTGGAGGGAGCCTCATCCAGGCTTTCCCGCGGAGCAGGAAGCTGTGAGCTGGCCACAGCGAGGCAGTCCTCTGCAGCAAGGCCCTGGGAGAGGACAGTGACTTCCTGGGTGTTCTCTCTTTGATTAAACCTGCAATAAAAAAAAAATATTTATTATGAATAACTGCTATCCTTTTCTTTCAAATGTCAATGTAAAACATTATGCTACTGTGCTTACCACTGAGTGAGAGTCCTCTGATTCAGCACAAACAGCTGAAGTGACGTGGCCTCCATCAGAGTGTGGCAGTTCAGCACCAGGTCTCGGATGTGGTGGTAGTCGTTGAGCACCTTAGTCCAACGAAAAAGACGGACTCCATCCTTTTTAGTTGGGGACTTGTGCAGTGCACACAGTTTGATGCACATGGCCTCAACTAAACGACTGGTGCTGGGCCACTGAGCCGGCCCCCCAGGATGACCGATCAGGCACCTCTTCACACTGTCCACACCTGGTGTCACTCCTGTATTTTTCGGCGGCTTGAAGCGTCCATGGGTCAGCTTGGGCTGGTGTCTGGGCTGATAATGGATCTTCCTCTTGTCCCCATCAGGAAGAGCAGTCCACAGACGGATGACCTCTGTAACCTGCTGCTCGTCCAGATAGAGTGCCTGACGGAGGGACACCAGGTACTCAGCCAGATCCTGCACCTTATCCCAGCCTGCGACGCCACTGGGTCCAAGAACAGGAGCCTGCAGGGAAGTATTACAATAACAATACACAGCATGTTAAATGTCAGAGTGTAAAAGCAAATAGAAACTAATAATGAGCAGCTTACTTACAGGAGCCTGGTCTGCAACACTGGACCCAGTTGATGTTGGGGCTGGGTGCGGGTGCAGGGGCTGGGTGTGGGTGCAGGGGCAGGGTGTGGGTGCAGGGGCAGGGTGTGGGTGCAGGGGCTGGGTGCGGGGGCAGGGGCTGGGTGTGGGTGCAGGGGCAGGGTGTGGCGGTGCATCCCTGGGCAGAGGCAGGTGCAGAGGCCTAGTCTCGTTGCTGTCCTTTATCACGGTTGCGGTGGTGTTTTTGTGCCATGTTTTTCTGCTGTTGAATTCTGAACTCTGCTGCTGCAGCTATGAGCGGGAAACCAATTGTCAACGTAACTTCCTGCATGTTTAGCCCAAAAAATAATTACATACAAAATTGAATACACATCCGACCTGTTAAATCACTTCCAAAAGACAAACACCTCCTCACTGCAGCAAGAGGTCAGAAGAAATACAGCTGGAAAAAGACATCTCATAATGTGGCATTGAGCTGAAGAGTTTACAAGTTGGTTTTTCTGTTTTACTCTTAACTGTAGCCCACAGTCATGGCCTTTGAGGCACAAACGTTTACAAGTAATCTAAGCACTTTCTGTTTGCACCTTTGTCGTTGCACTAAAAATGTTCACTATCAAAGGATGATTTTTTTTCAGGGAGTTGCCAACCCAATACGTCCGTCACACGAGAACAGCAAAACCTCATGTACACTTGGCCTTCCTGCGTTTAATTTTAGCTTAGCATTAGCCAAGATTAGCTTTGGGAATCGCCAAACGTAGAACTCACCTACGTGGAGCTAGCTAATGGTAAGCTAAGTTAAAAACTAGCTCAAAAGTACATAAGTCTTGTGGTTGATTGACTACATTGGATTCATGTCAGCAAAGACAAGTTTACAGAAATATTGATGAAACTGAAGTTGAGCCTCCGTAACGTGGAGATACACTGCCTCAGCTGTTTATGACGTACAAACCTGCGCATGTGCTGCACACGGCAGCCGAAGCAATCCAAGATGGCCGACACGGAGTCCGAGTTGCTTTAAAAGTTAAAATACCAACAAATTAAGACAAATGTTTTAAGAGTTTTGTGTAAAGTTGGTTTTAAGCAGTCAACTGCTCCTGTGAAACTACACTGCTGCTGTGAGATAGCAAAAGCGTGAATACAATTTTTGCCTTGAAAGGCTGTGATGAATCATCACAGTCATGCCACGCCAGTACTTTGTGGAACACCCTTTTGCAGCAATAACAGCAGCGAGTGTTTAGGGTTGGACTACACAAACTCTGCACATCTTCAGACCATAGACTATAAATATTAACGGACGTAGTCCCTCTCTCAGGTCAGAGAGCCGCAAAGCGGCCACGGGAACATTAACGGTCTAGCGAGCAGATTGAAATAACTCAAAAATACAAAATACAGCCAAAACAGGACCTAAACCGGGACTAAACCAGGACTAAACCAAGATTGACAATGGGGGACACAGTAGTTCTCATTCAGGCTCTAGTAGTGAGTAAACTAGCGCAGCTAGCGTTGGCGTGTTCGCCGATGCAGAAGCACCATTTAAAAGTAAAATAAAGAAATAAGAAAAAGACGCGACAGAGCTGCATTCTTGGCTTTTCACAAAAAGCCGCTAGCTTGATGCTAACGGAGTTATATTTAGATCGAGTTTTGATGAAACAAGGAAGAGAATGTGTTTCGGGTCTCAGATTGTGACCAATCACAGCGCACCACTAGCCCCCACTTTCGTGAGAAATCTACAGGTCTCTGTTAGCATAGACAGGTGAGTTAGCACAACAAGTGGCGGAGCTAACCTGAAGCGTCGTGTGTCTTCGTCACCGGTTACTGCTTACACAGCGAGACAGCCATCCAAAAGAAAGTCTTGTTCCTCCGCGCTTCCCGGTTCTATCGTTCTATGGTCACGCCATCCACGTGCAAATCCATATCCATGGATCTATTATAATAACTGGATAGGGTATTACAGCTTGGAGCTGAATAACCCATGTGCTCGGGGGATTCTCGCAGTACTGCAGACTAGACCAGACTAAATTCACGTGGGCTACCCAGACATTTTCCCCATAGAACTCAATGTAAACTAAAACAGCGCGACCTCAGCTGACAGAGAACCTGACAGAGAACCTGACAGAGAACCTACAGCTTTAATAAAGGTCAGATTTTGTGGGGATTTTAGTGTCCCTTGTCATCCTGAACTTTTTTTCAGTTTGCTCCCCTCCTTCTGGCCCTGTCCGTGGCTGTCTGAGCTTCTTAAAACAGTAAGTTTTGTATAATATATGCTCCACACTGTACACAAATTTCACACAAAGCTTCAAAGAAACAAACCTTTTAGGTATTATTGAGATTTTCCCACTTCTTGGCCGCTCTCCCAGGGCTGATTAGCCGGCTCAGCCCCATTTCCTTTATTACTGCCCTAAAGTATCGATACATAGAAGTATTTTAATACGAGTAGAAATGTTTTAATAAGTATTCATTCATAAATGGTCGTACTCCCATCCAGCCGCCGAAGCAAAACGGAGGCCGCCGTTTTTCACCCAGAGACGAATGAGCCTCTCCACATCCGTGTTTGTCCCTTTAAAAACACACACAATAAATGCTATACGTAAAACACAAGTGTTTTAATAACACTGACTGACCAGTGACCCGTTTCTGTAGCGTTAGCATGAGATGTTAGCGTTTTGATATGTAAAAGTGCTAACACTAACTGCATAACATTGATACGTTGTTTCGCATTAAAAGGCGATGGTATTGTGACTTCAAATGTGTTTTTTGGCAGCTTAGACACCTAAAACTAATTCGAAAGTATGATTGTTACTTCCGGTTTTGTCCCGATTCCGTATATGATCTAGTGCCGACCATTCGGACACCCCGACAAAATGGCGTGACCACTATATAGTGCACTATATAGGGTATAGTGTGGACATTCGGATACAGCCTGTAAATATTAACGGACGTAGTCATGCCTAACTCCGTTGTTCAAACAAATGGGCCAAAAATTGTGCTCTAATGGAGGTTTCCAAAATGGCCGCTTTCCGGGCGGAGACTCTGCGCGCGCTGAATCATTTGTGCATGCGTCAGTTGGCACACATTGGGAAGTGACCGGGCAGTGACCGGGCAGCTGCATGGTCCGTGGTGACGTTGTTACCCTGTACCTCTCCCGTTGCCCATGGTTACTGTTTACTTGATAGGTGCCTGGACACGTCTTTGCTTCGAAGGTAATAGGCCGGATCGCCGTGTCGTCACGCCCTCTCGCGATAACACGCTGGTTGGCAAAAAACAACAACGCCATATTAATTGTTATTTGCGCGGCCTTTCAGAGAACACATATTTAATCCAGTTAAAACAAAAATGGTGGTGAGTTGTGTCGTTATTGGTTGCACG